AAGAGATTGAAGTGGGGTAGGATTCCGAGGTATGCCTCACAGAAATGGATGAAGATTGAGATGTGCAAACTGGTATTGGGGTGGAGGTTGCACAGACTAACCGCCCAGAGTTCCAAGAGATCCCTCATAAATGGATGAACAGGAAATCCTAATCCACGCCAGAAATAATCCTTGAATACCACTGCTTCGTCAGTATGAGGTGTCGGGAAGGACTCACCGAGGGTTGGCCGCCATCCGGCGGTAGCACGGTCAGGGAGAACGCCGGCTTCCACCAATCTGTTTAGCTCCGCATCTCCCGTTCATGACGGTACCCACTCCTCATCACGCCAGGCCACGACGCCTGCCTTCTTAGGACTAGTCTTCTTCGATTTTGCAGCTCCTTTCTTCAGCGTCATCTCCTAGATCTGGTTAGGGTTTGGCGGTGGAGCCAAATGTGGTTGCAGATTCAGAGATGTGAGAGATGAGGAGGAAGATGAAGTGGAAAAGGTGGAAACGGGGTATGCGATGGCACTATTATAAAGCACTTTCCCCACCTTTCCGCATTCAGGGGTTTTTGGGAAACCGTTCCCGCGATCTGCGCCGCTCTGAATTCTCCGACACGGCGTATGGGCCGTTACCTGGGCTTCTGCGCAACCGCAGCCCACGTCGTTCATTTATCGCTGTAGTCAGTTGCTACTGGCCGAATAATCGCCGACTTCTCCGCCATTTATTGAGGCTCAGTAACCGTTACTGTATAGCCATTACTCTGATTTTTTTCTCCGTGGTTTGATTTCTCCGATATCTTCGCTTGCAGCTCGGGGACTAGCTGCCTGCTCGGCTGGTCATTCATTATTTCTCTGTTTCTGACCCTGGCACCACATGACTACGTCATCTACTATCAGGCTCGGGGACTAAGTGGGCACACTTTACCTTGCGTTGAATGTGCTTTATCTCATTTTGGGGCTACGCCCGGGGACTGGCTGCCTGCTCGGCTGGTTTTCTATTATTTTTCTACTTTGTACCCTGGCACCACATGACTACGTCATCTACTATCAGGCTCGGGGACTAAGTGGGCACACTTCACCTCGCGGTAAATGTGCTTGTTTTTTCTTAAAGACTCCGTGCCTCTTGAAGCTAAAGAAGGTTATCTCCTTTCCTCGTGGTTGGACTCTAAGTGGGCACACTTGGTCTACTGCGAAGAAATTTTCGATTCTGGACTAGAGCTCCTTACACCCTTATGGCAAGCCGTACTTGGGATATGCTGCTCGGCTGCGGGTCACGTTGCTCGGCGATGATTGCACGCTGCTCGGCAACTGCTCACAACTGCTCGGCGACTCATCACGGTGGTCGGACCATGAGTTGGACCGCTCGGCTTTGGTTTGCACTTGCTTGGACACGCTCAGGACGGCGTTGCACAACGGGTACAAGGCGCTCGGGGACTAGCTGTGGGGGTACGACCCCGAATACCCATGGCGGACCACATGGGCTGCGCCCCTAGGGGCGGCCCAGCCCACAAGATGAAGCCTTGCGGGACACGATTCTGCTCGGCGCCTCCCACAAGATATATGGAGGATATCCTGAAGATGCTACGAGATCTGTTAGGATACGTATGATCCCATGATTCTTGTATTCTGTTATTACTTTTCGGTTATCTCTCAGATCTAACCGACTTGTAACTCTGCCCCCAGACTATATAAGGCGGGCAGGGACCCTCTCTAAAACCACGTCATATCATACGATAGCTAATACAAACCAACAGACCATAGGAGTAAGGTATTACGTCATACTGACGGTCTGAACATGTATAACTCGTGTATCTCTATTGCCTTCTTATTCTTGATCACGCGCTTCTCTGCCAATCAATATACTTTTGTGGGATATCCCTCGGAGGACTACCGATGATATTCTATCGACAAAGCGGGAGAGAACTAAGAAGTGCTATCCAAAGATTTTTTTGAACTTATTCTCCTCATTTTTTAACGGATACCTAGAGTACAACAAAATCCATGAAGAAGAAACTCACAGAGAAGATGCATCACTTCCTGTACGTTGATGGCAATTTGTCCCTCCATTGGGAAAGAACATACAATTCTAACATATTATCAAATAGGACCGCCTTCTCCTCGTACCCATCCAAATCCACATTCAGCCTGTTCGTCAGCTCGTATCTGGCTTATAAGCCTTGGCTTATCAGCCAACGAACAATATTTTTCTCTCACACCAAACCAGCCAGCAGTACTTTCAGCCATGGCTTATAAGCTAATCCAGCCGAAACGAACAGGCTGATTGTGCACCCTTGCTCCCGCCTCTCGTCATCCGGCCCCACATCAATTTCCATGCTAGCCATGACGGTCAAAAAGCTTCGCATATGCCAAGTCGTTGATCCAGCGAACTCGAGAAGTACCCTTAGCTGCCAGATTCCTGAAGTAGCATTTAAGTTTTATTTGCTGGCTCTTCCTATGGTCAGCTGATTTGTAGTCGCGACAGAAGTTGTCTTGTTGTGGATGTGTTCACTGTTGTCAAAGTTTTACCTCCACAGCTTCCATTAAATGTGCATGGCTTATTGTGTTGAACTATGCAAAGAGATTGCTTACGGACAACACTTTTTGTAACCCTTTTTTTTTTTAACTTTTACTGGATCTAGCAGCGCCCCAAAAAAAGTTACACCTTAGTTGTGTTGTGTAGGAGGCAATGAACATGAATCTAAAGGTTGAAGGCACACCACTTGGGCAAACAAGGTAATATGGACCTTTTCTAGCTCCCTTATTCCCTCTTACCTCGAGGCATTTAGTTCAACCCAAAATAGACCTAGGTGTCAATAACCCGACGAGGACATCACTCATTTAGATGCACATGACACCCAAGTGGCTGGCTACACAAGGGACAATTAATAGAGTGCAGGCACGACAATTAGATATCTAGGTGAGCTCATTTCTAAGTGATTCTTTTTGTGAATTTGAGAATAAACACTTGTGATTTGCAATGCATGGCCGTGAGGGTTGACTGGTGGACTTCTCACGGGGTTCAAAATTCTTTTTTTTTCTTCATTTGCAAATTTTGTAAAACCATTTATAGAGATGGCTAGAATTCAGACCGCCCCTAGGATCGATCTCTAGGGGCGTTCTAGGGGTGGTTAGAGAGCCACCTCTACATATCGACACACATATAGAGATAGGTGAAGTAGACACCTCTACAAATAGATTTTGACCACTTTTACAAATGTTTCTTGTAGTAGTGTTAGGGTCGTTAGATTTGTCATGAAATATATTTTTATAATATACCTATTATGTGTTATGGCTTCTAGTTCACAACTAAATATTAGACGGTTACCTATTAATTAATTGGGTGTTGTTTGCATCCCCTAGCTAGCTAAAAGGTGGATGGGTTAATGGTTTCGTCTATAATGATTCTTATTTTTTATTTGTTATTGGTATGCCATGTTGATATAAGTAGGTGGGAGGGAAAAAGTGAACTTTTGCAATCAATTTGTTGCTGGTTGGGATAGCTAATGATATAGGGATGATTTGTGCATGTAGAGACCGGAAAGATATAGCCGAACAAGTTTGATGATTGCTAGTAACCTTTGCCATAAAAATAATGTATAGTTCTATGTATGAACTTGGACAACAAGTTTGGGATAGCTATATTCTTTTTTTTGTGACGAAGGGAGTGCTCCCTTCGTCCCACAAAGAGCGTTATTTTCATTTCAAAGAAGTCAAATATTTGAAATTTTGACCAAATATATATAAGATTATAGTGTATATAATTGGTATCATTAGATAAATCATTGAATATATTTTCACAATAAACTTGTGGAGATACAAATGTTGCTAATATTTTTACAAACATAGTTAAATTTAATAAAGTTTGATGAACACAAACTTATATAGACAGTGTTTTTGGGACAGAGGAAGTAGGGGCCCGTTTGATTGGCTCATAGACGAAACTGCTTGGACCAGGCAACACTCCCAGTCGTCCGATTTCGGACGCCTGGGACTAGGATCATCTCCCTGGCCAGACAATGGCTCCGTTCGTTTAGAGGAATTTGGATGAATCTGGAGGAATTTGTGAGAGGAAATCATCCGTGAACAGTAAAATTCAGTCAGGAACAGTACTTCCTCCATACCAGCCGAACGCAGCCAATGTTTGCTAGGACGCATAGCAAACACGCCTTAGGTATTTGCCGATGCCGAGGCACTCCTTATCACACGTTACATCTATGGGGTGTTTGCATACAGGGGCTAAAGTTTAGTCCGTGTTACATCAGACGTTCGGATGCTAACTAAGGATTAAACATGAGCTAATTACAAAACGAATTGTACAGGAGTAGATTAATTAGCGATACAAACCTATTAGGCCTAATTAATCCAAGATTAACACATGTTTACTGTAGCGCGCCCGATCATGGACTAATTAGGCTTAATAGATCCGTTTCACAAATTAGCCTCCATATGTATAATTAGTTTTGTAATTAGCTTATGTTTAATATTTCTAATTAGCTTATGTTTAATACTCCTAATTGGCCGCAGACGCAACTAGATATTGACAACATGGATCAGAACCTAGCATCGATTGATTTGCTCAAGCCTGGTAAGAGATCATTGCATGCCTACTCTGCTCTGCTCTGCATCCTGCAGTTCCAATCAAACAAATGTGATGGCACACAGACACACTACACACTAGCATAGCGGGCGTGCTCGTACAAATTCACAGGCACGCCCAAACAAACACACCCCAGGTCACCAGACCCCGGGACACTATACCTCTACCTGCATGCATACACATTTTCCTGCACAAACACACACGACCGAAAAACTGATGGTCAAGCTACTCCTCTCTAAACTAAACTGCTGTCACATGCATCAAAGATAGCTGTTGTAAGTAAGCTCTAATCACGCAACGACAAGCCTCAAATGTAGTAACCACGAACGAGCTATCTTTTACTAGTTCCCCGTATATGCTGCCATGCTGATCAACTGACACCGACCGACGACGACGTACGAATACATGCATGCTGCAGATCAGGCTGAAAACAGGTGCTGGCTACAGATTTTCCTGACCTCCCCTTTCCTTCCCTTCTTGATCCGGATGGAGCCCATCCGGTCCATGCTGGCCACGAACGCCTGGAAGAAGCGGGTCTTGTCGGCGAGGTCCTGCACGAGCGGCCTGGTCCGCGCGTCCAGGAACAGCGCCTGGTCGGAGCCCAGCAGGCCCAGCCTGGCCTGCAGGTTGCCGTAGTAGGCGTGGTCGAACTGGAACGGCGTGCTCACGTCGAAGGGCACCACGACGCGGGCGCTGCCGCCCGACGACGGGCACGACATCCGGAGCGCCTTCACGAGGCGGGCGTCCATCAGCGGGTCCGGCCGCCGCGTGCCCCGGAAGTCGTAGATGCGGCCCAGCACGTGGACGCAGTGCGCGAACCCGACGGTGTGCGCGCCGGACAGCGCCACCAGGTCCGCCGCGCCAAGGCCCTTGCCCGCGAACACGCGGAGGAGCTCGTCCACCGTCGAGTTCGCCCGCGGGAGGCTGCCGCGGACCTTCCCCGCCAGGGACACCTTGCTGTCCTTACGGCCCTTCTTCACCGCGTAATACGGCCCACCTGCCTGCGCTTCCCAAACAAAAAAGGTCATTCATAATGTGTGTAATGGGCCATTATTGTTAGGTTGGGTCCAATCCCACTAGCACTAGGGCCGGCCCTCAGGGAGTTTCTCAGCCAAATGCTTAGGCTGAAAATCAAAAAAAGAATGAATAAAGTTGTCCTAAAAAGTAGAACAAAAAATATGAGCCGTAGACTTTGCTGTATGATTGGGCCGTTTCTAGCAAAGGCAGCGTGGTCCAGAAAGATGCACGAGACGACTCCAAAGATGGGCGACCGTGCTACTACGCAACAAAGCGAGGGCCAGGTTGGACGCTTGACTTCTGCGGGAAAGGGAAGAACACGACACTTGACTCGCTCAGAGGCTGTGATGGACGATCCACTTACGCCACCTGTCAAGTGTCGCCTGACGCACTTATAAAACACGCCCATGTGGCCCTAAATTACTCTCATTGCAGCACCAAATCAGCTGGTCTAGAGTCTTGACACGAGGCAAACTTTGGTGCTTTGTGGCCATAAGATCCAAGCACGGAGTGCGAATCCCCAAGCTTAGCTTATACTAGCTCAACTGGTGTTAGCCGTTGAGGCCGTCACGTTGTCTCCCTATCTACATTAGCGGCCTGTTCGGCTGGGTTTATACGAATACGATCGTGTATTATAAACTGGAATAGTATTTTTCTCTCATACTAAACCAGTCAAACCAGTCAGCAGTAAATAATCCATGATCATTTACGACAAAACAAATAGGCCGTAGGAAATCGTACAGAGACTAGTCCGATCCATGCATCACTATAGTCGGTTAAAAATTGCCGTGGTTACGTCCTACCGTGACGTGACGTGAATTAAAAGCCACTGATTTTTTTTTGAACCGGGGGAGATTCCCCATTTGCATTAAGGCTTCGTTCTACGGAGGAATTTTACTGTTCACTCTCTCGTAAATTTCTTCAGATTTCTCCAAATTTCTCTAAGCGAACGGGGCCTAAGCCTTAACGGAAATACATTGTTTAAGAGTTTATCAGATAGAAGAGAGAGAGCGCAGAGAGGTAGAGAGTACAGCCGCACAGTATAAGCCTTCCAGCTATTACAACCAAACAACCGAACATTAAAAGCCACTGATTGGGCGATGGTGCTAATCTCAGAAGCAAACGTTTAAACAAAACGATTAAAACCTACTGCTTTAACGTCAAAAAAAAATTAAAACCTACTGCTACTCGTGTCTGCACGGGCCACGGGCGGCCACGCTTGCAGGCTTTGCAGCCCTACTGACCCACCATAATTAGCAGAAACAGTTCACTGAGCAGATCACCGACCACGGAGCACTTGCACTTCCACTACTACGACGATCGATATAGCAGTTGAGATCGCAAAAACCTGAAACGATAACAAGGTTTGTTTCTCTTCGGTCACGTAATCATCATCACCGCCCTTGCTTGGCCTGCTTAAGCTAAGCTAACACCGTCCTGTTCCTAACGACGTACACATGCTGGCCATGGGCACGACGTGCGGTTGCGCCTTTTTTTTCCCGCATGCAGTGCAAAAGCAATCCAAATTAAAGCTGGTAAAAGTTTCAAAAAAAAAAAGCAGGTGAAACCTTTTCTTCCCCGGCCCGTCCCCGGCTTCGCCTCTCTTTGGTCCTGACTTGCCAGTGTAGTGTACGGTACCCCTACCCAACTTTTACTGTCAGTTGGCTTTCGGTTGCAACCGCGATGCTGCACTGCAGTCGCATCGCTTTCTCTCGCTGAAACCCAAGGCTCTGCTCCTCTGCTTTCGGTTGCATAATGCATTAATGCTGTGCTCAAAACACGGTTTCGACCCCGCTAAACTCTCACGTGTTTTTCGCGTGAATTAAGCGAGAGAGAACGAAGACTGGGAAGATGAACGAGCTAGTTGTTAGCATGTGTTGCGGTAGGTACGTACCAGCTGGACGTAGTCTCGGGCGGCGAGGGCGAGGACGTCGGCGCAGGAGACCATACCGGGGCACTTGCTCTCCACGGCGGCCTTGGCAAGCTCCACCGTGTCGAACGCCTCCTGCGGCAGGTTCCTGTTCTCCTCCATGTCGCGCTCCACCCTGGGTGGCGGGCGCACGCCCGCGCCTGCCGCATCGGACGACGTCGGCGCGATCAAAATGGACGCGTCACAGCCCTGCGTGCGTGCGTGCGTGTGCATTCACATCAAAATCGGCAGGAAACCAACGAACATAATGCAAGGATTTACAAACAATTGCTCAGCTCTTGCTTGTAACTAAACTCGATCGGGTGGTACTGTATGAGCGCATCGATCGGTTACGTACTTCGACGAAGCAGTCGTGGTGGAAGAGGCGGAGCACGGCGGGTCCGGCGGCGGGGAAGTCCCTGTACCGGGCGGCGGTGACGTTGGCGACGATCTGGTCGACCGCGGGGCACGTCTTGGCGTAGAAGTCCAGCGCTAGCCCGTGCCGCTCCGGCGCCCGCCTGCTGCCGAGGACCGTGGCCGCCGCCGCCGCCACAGGCAACGGCTGGGCCTCCCTGCCACGCGACGTGCCGACGAGGGACGACGCGACGAGCAGCAGCAGCAGCAGCACGCGGCGGTGGACGAGGAAGCGGATGCCTCTAGAGGAATCCATTGTTTCCGACGTGCAATGCAGATGCAGAGGAAGCGCTGGCCTCTGGGAAGCACCAAGCACCAAGGCGAGCGACATGCTTGCCTTATCCCGCGGCCGGTAGCGCGAGAGCTGACAGACAGCGGGCGGGCAGAAGCAGCGCGAGAGCGAGACAAGCGAGGGAAAGGAGGGCCTAGCTTGTTTGTTGGTGTGCGGACAAACAGTGGAAGGCGAGCGCATGTGGGTGCGGCGGTGGCGAGCTTGGCGGCTTCCGGGCGATACTGCGCTCCCGTGAAGCGGAGAAACTGGACGGCCGCGGCCGGGCCGCCGAGATAGAATACCACGCATTCATCAGCATCCACGGTATTAGTAGACTGTAGACAGTAGTAGTTCAGTCTGCAGGTGTACGTGCGCAGTAGTCTCCGTCTCGGCCAAATTTTTACTGCACTGTCGGAGGTGATGTATACGTACGCGCTAGAGTCCATCTGCCTACGCTGGCGGATGCAGGCATATGAATCAGAATATAACCAAAAATAAGATTTTTTTTATACACGGGGTGTACGTTATGTACATTATCGAACCTGCTACTGTATCGGAGTACCAGTAATTAATAAGATAATTTTATTTTATCAAACTAGACCCCTGATTCCCTGAGAATTGGAAACTGGAAATTGGCGCGTGTGGTTATGCATCCGGAGATATGGAGATGGAAATGCTTCATCTGTCGTAAAAAGAAGGCAATTTCAGAATAGTGTCAGTTAAACTATCTTAAATTTGATTAACATATTAGAAGGACGTTTCACGGAATTTTTAAATAATAGACCTCTCAGCTCAGCTTTTAAATAATATAATATAATACTCCTTGCCATCCATCAATGATAAATCTGAACATCTGGCATTCATGTATGATGTGTGCCAATGATAGGGCAATTTCCTTGATGTGGAGAGAGATGTATCATGTACTATTAGCAAACTTTTTTATTTTGATCGGATGTATTAGCAAACTGATGGTAGCAGAATTGGTTATGTTTTATGATGGTGATAACTTTCCACCTAGATTCAAGTCTGACTCAGGATGGGTGCTCGCGTTTTTTTTCTTCTAATTATTGTTCTTCTAGAGTGTCCATCAACATCGAGATGCATGTAATTACTTTGTCAATTTTAAGATATGCTTGTCTAATCTCTCAAAGACGTTCATAAGATTATGACGTATGTTTGTATGTTCACATGGTGTGAATGTCGTATAGCACTACAAAGACTACGCGGCTTTGCCGCGCCCAACGTTAGAATAGGTTATCCCTTTGAACTCTAAGGCTTATTAGTGGAGTGGGAGCTTTCTTCCTCTGAATAGATTCATGAGCAATGACAGGTAATAGAGACCAAGCCAAATCAACAGGTTAATAAAATTAAAAGTGGTGGGATGACAGTGCAAAACGGTGTCAGATCTATCATGTAATGTCCTGTATAAGATTGCATGCGGGGCGGGCTCTTAACGTAACCCGCATGCTCGCCCCGCAAAAATTCTCTTCGTGGCTGTAATTTCTTTGTGGCCCAGTATCCTTTAACCTGCGAAGCCCGTTGGGCAAGAGACAGAGGTCGCATGAACCCGCAAGAACCCGCGACAATTGCATCTCCCGATCCCTATCGCAGTCGCCGTCACGGTAGCATGGCGTCGGGCATCGTCCTCCTCCGCTCGCCATCTGCCCGTTCTACAACTCGTCAATTATGATAGGTGACCTCTCTCTAATTTTCATGTTGTGGGACTCGTCAAGGGTTGCACTGGTGCATGCATACAATCGAGACAAATTTATTTAGATCAAACTAACCACAAACACCTCAAGATATTAGTTGCATTTGATTAGTTAGATCATCAGTTCAACCAAGTTCTTATAAGATAAGTTATGTTCTTAATCAAAACTGCATCCATAACTTGATGATGAAAACTTTTATTTTTTTAGGAAAAAATAAAGGTTTAAAGGCCTTTCTTTATTCTTTGTTTTTCATATTTATTTATTGGAACGTGATGAATAAAAAAAGATATAAACGTAAAAAGTGAAAGTGCAATGAAAGAAACGGAGACGGCCAATGTGCCTCAAGTAGATGAAACATTATGAATAGATACTTGCAACATACGTGCATAGTCATTGCAACACATGAACATCTAGATCTACTTTTGCAACATCTGTATCGCGCACAAAGGGACTGCCTTCACCTGCAGATACCGCCTACGCCTACTCATGAAACACTTTCAACATGAAAGCACTTCTTGCAACATACGTCTAAAGCAGATGAAACATTTGGAACATACGCTTGCAACATATGTGTATAGCCACTGCAACATATGCAACATTCAGATAAAACACTTGCAACATACGTCTGAAGTAGATGAAACATTCTGAATAGATACTTGCAACATACGTATATAGCCATTGCAACATATGAACATCCAGATCTACTTTTGCAACATCCTTATCACGCACATAGGGACTGCCTTTCACCAGCGGGTACCGCCTACGCCTACTCATGAAACACTTTCAACATGAAAGCACTACTTGCAACATACGCTGAAGCAGATGAAATATTTGGAACAAACGCTTGCAACATATGTGTATAGCCACTGCAACATATGCAACATTCAGATAATACACTTGCAATATACGTCTAAAGTAGATGAAACATTTTGAATAGACACTTGCAACATACGTGTATAGCCATTGCAACATATGCAACATCCAGATCTACTTTTTTTTTGTAACATCCATATGGAGCACTTGCAACATACATCAGGAATATCTGAAACACTTGACACATATGTTTACAACATATGCTTTTATTGCAACATGGGCAGGCGGCACAACGAACTAGCATGGTGGAGGCGGCCCTACGAGAAGGCAGCAGCCGGGAGCGAGCGGCGTGGGCAAGGCACGCGGAGCGGTCCGTCCGTCCGGACGACCGCTTCGTAGCATTACCGTTAAAGACAGTGCATAATGAAATTTTGGCACAGCGTTGACTATGGTTAATCAGGAAAAATAATTAATTAATATAGGCATACCAATATGTTATATGTGGCTCTAACATATCAAGGCCCATACGAAAATAGTTGATATTTATGTTGACCATGCAAAGCTGACTCGTAATATGACGAGGCTCACATATATTTGTGGTCTATAATTATTTTTGGACCACATGTATTTTTGTGCACATGCATGCAAGTATAGACGGTAAGCACATGTACACGTTGCTCTAGCTGGTCATTCAGCACAGCTCTCTATGCATGTCGATTATGTCCTCTTCTGATATACGTGCATGTCACGTATTCATGTTCTGAACTTCTGACGAGGCCTCCGTACATGCGTGTACATGCACATATTTATCTTGCATTATGTTCATGGATTAAAACATAACCGGACCCACCGAGCAGCCGATGCAGCCGGGAGCAACAACACGGGCGGGACAGGGCGCAGCGCGTGGAGCAGTCCGTCCGAACACTTAAAACAAATGAGCCCGATGTAGATTAAAAAAACGCGGACGCACGTAGCAGTCCGTCCGGACGCCCATTTCCTGTCAGTACCGTTTTCTTTACCTTGCATTCGGCGTCCGTTTTCTATCAATATGTACGTATCCAATTGACTTGGTTTAGGTTGGGTTTTGTCAGTTAACAGTAATTTTTTCTCATAATAAATTAACACTAGTCAAACTTATCAGCTTAAAACCCGATCAGCAAATAGGGTGTATGGCTGGTCTTTCCTATTGGTACGTGACTCTGGAATTACAGGAGACCAATTAATGAGTCCTAAGTCCTAATAGAACACGGCAGCTCCTATGAATTCTCGTGTACTCCCTCCGTATAGAATTTAGAAGTCGTTTAGTGTATGATTGTGCTTACCAAGAAGTGATTAATTAGGGGATATTTTCCCTATTTACCCTTATTAAATAGGGTTACGGGTGCATTCCATACGAGAAAGTTCCTTAGCTCGGACGGTTAGTGCATCGAGGTGTAAGTCCAGCGATTCGAATGTCCAGCGACTCGAGTTCGAAACTCGACGGACGCCTTTTTTTTTTTTGTTGTGGCTTGATTTTGCATGGCACTATTTGCTGCGTGGCGCTTGTGCTTTGGCTGCATGACTCGGTTTTTTTTTCGTGTTTGTGGCTGGGCGTGGCGCTTGCGTTTGGGTGGTTTCTGCGCGATTTTGCTGTTCGCACTCACGGTAGGGAGGCGCTCCAGCGTTCGATTTTCGCCGTTGGCGCGAGTTCAGCCGCGATGAGGCGTGTTTAGCCTCGTTAGTTTGGTTCGTTTTTTGCGTTTAAGTGCACTGGCGCTCGTTTTTTCCATTGCGCGCGCGCTCAGCATGTTGGCTTAGCAGGTCCGACGCCTCATTCCTTGGTTGATCTATTTAAATGCTCAGCAGGTCCGACGCTTCAAGTGCTTCATCCTCCCTTGCATTCCTTGCTTGCTTGCTTAAACGACATGGCTTACCTCTTCTCCACTGCAATGGCTAATCCATTCGATTTGAACATTCGTGTAGAAGAAGATGACGACGACAATCTTCTATTCGATCTCAATGAGGCAATATTGGAGGATCACACCACATATGGTAATGTACTCAGTTCGTTTGTTCTTTTTTTTATATTCAAAGCAACAACGTGTGCTAATGTTTCTCATTTTCTTTCTTCTTTTTTGGACAGGGTTTGATTTGAACTTGCCACTAGACAAGTTTGGTGTGGTTGATTTCGATTATCTACAAAACCTACCCGGTAAGGTTTATAAATGAGTTTTTTTCCCTATAGCTACAACATGCCATGTCTAAGTATTGCATGAATGCGCTTGTTTTTTTTTTGCCTATAGCTAGAACATGCCGTGACTAATTATAACTATGAATGTGCTTGTTTTTTTTTCCTATAAATAGAACATGCCGTGGCTAAGCATATTATGAATGTGCTTGTTTTTTTTCCTATGAATAGAACATGCAGTGGCTATTAATAGAACATGTCGTGGCAACTAATGTTTGTTTTCTTTTAACAGA